ATAATCATTTATAATTGTATTATTATTATTATAATTATTATTATAAATAAATATTAAATCAAATAAATATAGCCAATTACATTGATAAAGCATTAGGTTTATCATAAAAAGGTACACATTAATAGTGTCTGCATGCTAACCTAAGTTCTCTAAGAAGTTCTCCAAGGCGTAGAAGGCCTTCGTCATGTGGCCGATTTTGGTCTGATTCACTGAAGACAAGTATCCATGCAACAACGGCATCAGCTCAGCATGGAATTTACTGACGTCTGGCTATTAGAAACAAATCAACCCATTTTAAACTCAAATCAAGCTAATGAATAATCATAAAAGCCATCAAATATTACAGTATTGACATTTCAATCTGACCTGGAGGTGTTCAGAAAACTGTCCGAGGGCAAAGAGCGCTGCACTACGGACCACCTGGTTCTTGTCCGACAGACTGCGACACACTGTTTGAAGCATGGATGACAACATCCTAACACAAAAACACAAATTTAAAGCACTGAGCAGCACTTTTTTCATGCATATGGAAATTGTGTGTTATGAATATGGGTAGAAATCTATGCATTGTAGAGTAAAACTTACTTGGTGCGGATGTGATCTGCACAGCCTTCGGCGAGCACAGCCATACACATGAGACCTCCTTTACGCTCATATGAGTTCTCACTTGATAAACATGCCTGAGTGAAAGGCAACTGCAGGATATAAAAACAGACATTTTAATAGGGTCACTGGCCACTGGAATGTTTTAGTCTACTTTTCCTACTACGGCCAAGTTTTCCAATAAGTGTTTTTGTTTACTAACCAGCTGGTTGAAGAGTTTTTCAGGTGGCATATGAAGAGCCATGGTGTCAATGACCTACAGGGGAATGCATATCATATATTACGGTAGTTTGAGAGAGGGTGAGATGGGTACAGGGTGAATGAGTGAAAGAAATAAAGCATGCAAAGGGACTGACCTGAACAGCAAAGCCCTCAGTGTCGTTTTCCTCATCCTCTGGGTCCTCTTCTCCAGGAGGGGGCGCTGCACTCAAGATTGGAAACACTACTTGCAGGATTGGCTGCAGGAGTTTATGCTTTAATACAGCCTTAAGAAGATAAAAAATGACAAGTGTTTATTAGTAGTAATAATTTAAATCATTTTGTGTATGGAAATCACAGAGTCTCAGGTGGCATGCCTATGGACCCCACAGTTAGACAAAAAAATTGCATGTCCTGAATCTCCAGATCTAATCTCACTGGTTGATGTTAGGCAACTTAAAAAGCAGACAGGTTTTTATGATAAAATAACAAAACCACAGGGTCTTATTTGTAGAAATTTAAACTTTTTTCGTATTTTTTTTAAAAAAGCAACTCTTCATAGTTCAAAATTTAATATAATGACACTTATTTGTTATTTATTTAGTCATTTAGCAGACACTTTTATCCAAAGCGACTT